TTAAAGATAATATCTATCTTAACTCGAAGTCATTTACCGTCGTTTCTTTCAATTTCGGCTAATTTTCTCACGCTGAAATTATCATACACAATCAATCGAATATATAGTTTCAACTGATACTATTTATCTGAAGAAGAATACCTTTCCCACGGGTACCCTCGAAAAAATCCGTTCAAAACATCAGGAACATTGATTTAGCGGACGGTGCTTATTTACCCCGATGATGACCTAGTGTCGAAAACGTTTAGTTTTTACTTTTCAAATAAATTTCTGCTTTGTAAACGGCTCATTTTTAAACCCGTGCTAAGATAAAAAGGTTTTAAAGTAATTTTTTCTTTGTATTTCTGTGTGTTTGTTCTCAAGGGCATATTTCGGAGTATCCGGCGCGAATTGTGTAATACCGCTAGGATGAATTGTCTTAATTCAAAAGGGAAATTTCCCTTCTCAAGAGACCTCGCGATACATTTGCTCTTTCTCAAGAACAATTGAAGGACTCGGTCGGAGCGCAACCTCAGTCGCCCTCCTAACACTGAGAACAAGTTTCAGGATGAATTCCGTGATGTACTGGCGCATTTCCGATGTATAAATCATTACGCTAATCAGTCTCATCGTGCGCCGCCAAGAAACTTGAATTTCAAGGTAGATACCTAACAAGACTAACCACCATTTAGATGCATCTTTCTTGAAACAACAAGAAAGATCGCTACATGTTAGTCCCTTTTTAAACAGTTACAACAGAAAAGAGAACGCAAATACCTGCACCAAATACCGAGACGATGACTCATCGCGGAAAACAAGAACATTTTCCAACCTTTTCTCACAGCATAAGAAATATCAGTCTCAAAGTCTAACTTAAAGTAGAGGCAAAGGGTTGCATTTAAGACCATTTAATGAGTTTCAAGACTAAGGAAAGTACACATACTGCGGGACTTTTGAAAAGCCTTTAGCTGCCAATATTCCTGGGTCATCACTTTCGATTTCTTCCTACATAATGTCCACCACAGCTTGTGGTATATTTTGGAAGACGCTAAGGAGAAATTAAAATTAAATGTCCTATGTATTGAGAATAAAATGCAAAGAATACGCCTTTATCTGCTGTCGATTAACGGGTTGTATCCCTGAACATAGGCAATGTTGAAGTTTATGTAAATTCTGTTTGGAAACAGTTTCCGCTTCAGTTCTTTCACACGTCCTAAATTGTTCTTGGTCTGAATGGGCAAACAACACTAGTGGTAATATTAAATTAACTACATCGTTCGTTTACATCTGCTACAATGCTTCCGAAAATTCGGATTTGTCTTCCCATAAATTTCTTGAGGATCCCAAAGTTAAGAGTTTTCAGTTTTCATGCGATGATCCTTCAACAACTAGTCGCAGGTTTTTGTCCTTTAAATCTGCATTAGTAAATGGTCAGACATGACAAATAATTTTGTCTCGTCCGTCTCGTCCGTCTCGTCTCCATGTCTGAATGTAAATGTGGGGGATTTCAGGGAAACGTGATTGGCTGTCTTTAATTGCCGTGATTCGTGATTGTATAAAGTTAAAAGCCGTGAACTGTGAATGATATGCCAGTCGTGATGCGTGAAACAAAGATACTATTTTCTGTTATACGTCATTACTAAAAAGAAAACGCATATTTTACCGTGAAAAATTACTTGCCGAAAATATAAAATCTCTTGACCAAGCCTGTTCGGTCAAGATGGCCGAATTGGTCAGCGTTCTATTGTTTGGAATCTGTCAATTTGATACCAAAAGCACATCAGTATGACGGTTTGTAGCCAATGCCTCTCGGCCTACATCTCAAGCAAAAGAAAAAGACCCTGATTAAATTAACGAGAGAGCCCACAATACACCATGAATTTTGCTCAGAGGATTCTCTGGTGCAACAGTTGTCACTTTATCATCGCAATGTGGATGCACAAGCTCAGTTAAACCAACGCATTGGAGGCTTATTACATTTAGGACCAAATGTTATTATATTTAGGACTTTATTACATTTAGGACTTCAACAAACATCACTTCAGAACGGGAGAGCGCGCGGAATAGTCTACACACGACATCATTCGACTTCCGGTGTTAGCGTTGCCATTCAAAGTTCAGAGGATAGTAAAGCTGTTCGTGAAACCGAAAATTTGTGTTGGCGATCTTTAAAAAGCCGAGTTTAGGCTATTCAAGAAAAAACATTGCGTTTACGTCTCGTTGCAATGACTGCTAAGTCACTACTTCTGAAACACAACTGGGCGACATTCTCGACCCAGTTTCTTACTGGTAGTTTTGCTGCGCGCGCCATTATCAACTGAAGTTCCCGTCCTCTTGCTAAATCCATGCATCTAATATTTCATAATTTGGCTAGTTACTCGGTGTATTACTTTTAAAATGTAAATCGCTTCGCTCTAATAAAAGACAATAAATGAACTCAAATTCTAAGACAGATGTTGAACATTTTTAGGAAAATTCCTGACGGGTCCAACGTTTCCTCTTCGTAAGAGTGGTCCAGCTTCATAATCCCTCTCTTCCTCCCCTCCCTGAAAGAGGTGTCATTTATAGATCATCACTTACATAAAACCAAGCGAGATTCCCTCTTGATATCACGTGTCTGTTACAGTAATTTGAGTTCCGTCTTATTTCGATTAATACTTAGAAGGAATCAGAGTAGATTGCAATGTTTTCTTAAGAGTACGACATTAATCAACTCCAACCGTTTTTATCATTTATCAACTTTGTTCTCACGCAAATCGCACCAACTGGAAAACGAAAAACTTATGATGAGTTAGTCATTGCGCAAATATAGCTTACCGTTTCATGACAGAAGTCCCAATAGTACTGTTACAAGTCTTGACTGTAATTTTGTGATAACAATCCAACGGTTCGATTCTTGCAAAACAACGAATACTGAGACCGGAAGTTCCCCTTAAAACAGAAGTAAGTTGTTTCAGTTTTGCATGCTCAAATTCATCAACGACAAAAATAAGTTACGTTAAGCGGGCTTGAGGACAAGTATGACTATTGAATTTGCAGTCGAACAGATTCAGCGTAAGAGATAGATAACCGGCACATTTTATTGGCTACCTGATATGACTGACGCATTACAACCCGTTCAAACAACCTATAGTTATTAAATCAAGTGTTTTCAATGAGCAAAATTTAGTCCGTCTGTTTCAAATATTTCTGTGATTTTCCACATCTGATCAAAATTCTTTTTCTGTCTGCCAATCACTATACATTTCACTTCTCCTTAGAACTCTTCTTGAAGGTCACACCTTCCCTTCAATAATCTTTTGCATTATATGAGAACGATCCTTCGCAGTAAAGCACTATTTGAGCAATAGTGAAAATCAGACCTGAAAAAAAATTTCAGGCCTGTACGGGATTCGAACCACTGACCTCTGCGATACTAGTGCAGCGCTCTACCAATTGAGCTAACAAGCCAACTGGGAGCAGGCCATCAAATTAATTCGATATAAACCCGTCATGATTTATTGGTAGAGCGCTGCACTAGTATCGCAGAGGTCAGTGGTTCGAATCCCGTACAGGCCTGAAATTTTTTTCAGGTCTGATTTTCACTATTGCTCAAATAGTGCTTTACTGCGAAGGATCGTTCTCATATACGTCTCATAACCGCAGTTCACACATATGTTTCATATGTTTGTTGTTGTTTAATCTTTTGCATTGCTATCGCCATAGCTAGTTCGCTAGGTAATGGGCTAATCGCTCGGTGCACTGCTTTTACGTAATATACCAGAGAATAAACTCAAATAGATGGCCGATGCTGTACATTTCTAGGAAAATTCCCCAACGGGTCTAAGGTTTCCGCTTCATAAGAGTAGCTTACCGTTTCAAGACAGAGACCCCAATTTTACTGTAACAAGTCTTGACTGTAATTTTGTGATAAAAATCCAGCGGTTCTTGCAAAACAACGAATACTGAGACCGGATGTTCCCTGTAAAACAGAAGTAAACTGTTTCAGTTTCGCATGCTCAAACCCATCATCGGTAAAAAATTTAAAAAGTTACACGAACCATGAAAACCGAAATGCGTGTACATTAAATGGTGCCCGCTCAAAAGTAGTAGGGTATTAAATATCCACATTTCACCTTTCCCTCCGGCAATGAAAGGAAAGAAAATCAATTTTATTTTAGCTTTTGTGATGAACATTCGGAAAGTGTATTTTTCCCATCACGGTTGTAATTTTACTCGAGGTCAGAGGTGGATCGATAGCGTCTTCGTTAACTCAGATGATATCGGAATTTAATCTTCAGCCGGAGAAAGTTGCTTTATTGAAATCAACATGTTCAGTGTTGGTTAAATACGAGTTAATTAATTGAGTTTAGTCAGTGTTTTGTAGGTCTAAATGGAGTTATAAATGTTCGACCGACCTCGCCGTTTGTGAATTTCTTTCAATTTTTATCGCACAGTATCAGAATTTTCTTCTGACAAGTCGTTAATCACATCATTTAGAAGAAAATGAGGTTTGAAACAGTTTTAAAAACGAAGCTCGAAGCCAAAATGATTACTTTAGTCTTTTAACACTGAATAACAAATTAATGGAAGTGAGTCAGTTTTTTTTTTTTTTAAAGATAGTACTTACCAGACCTGTAGTGTTCAGTACCTTGCTTTGAAAATAAAATAAGTATCCTTTTCCGTCCTTTCAGTTTTTTCTAACATACGTCATACGTCAGTCTTATCGAGCGGCCAATAAAATGTGGTTGCCTATTTTTTATACGGTATCTGTTCGACTGTGAACTCTATAGTCATTCTCGTCCTCAAGCCCGCTGAACACAACTGCCCAACCTAAATAAGCGCCCATAGAAACGCTCCTCTGTTTAGGACCTTTAACTATTATATTATCAATAGGCTCTTAGAACATAGCTAGCAGAGCCGCGCAACCAAATTCAGTATACGTAAGCGTGCTCAAAATCCCGATAGTGCACGCTGACAGCGTGAACAAATCGCTTCGCCAGAATTTTTATTTTTTTCGCGCGAGCGGCCATAATGCTAGCGCAGGGAAAAATAATATATTTCGCGACACTAACAGATACAAACAGAGACTCGGCCAACTAGTCCCAAAACGGAGACAATTTTTCGACCTTTTCCCTTGGGCTAGAGTTTTTAAATGAGGCAGAAAAAAAGGAAAAACAACAGAAAAGGAGACTCGGCATCAGCCCCGTCACGATTCGCTTCAATTGATATTGTTGTCCCTTTTACGCGTCGGATTTGATGCACAATTGCACCGGCTATGTTCTAAAACAATTGGTTCATGCTTTCAGCTGTTATCGAGTTATGGAGCACATGGGAAGTTTGGAGAGCACTCAAGAAGCTAGAGTTGCCCTCGGCTATTGCCTCGGCCAACTCGTTTACGCTTCTTTCGTGCTCTCCAAACTTCCCGCGTGCTCCATAACTCGATAGTGCACGCTAAAGCATGAACCAATCGTTAATTAGCATGACTTGATCACGTGATCAACTTCGGTAAACACAAAAACAGTTCACTTATAAAGAATTTTGTCAGCACAAGCTGAAAGAGCATATTAAAATTAGGTAACCTCAGAATTTTCAGTCGTATAGCCGAAAAGTAGCGATTGCAACGGCCGCCGAAAGTTAGAAGCATTTGTATGAAGAAACAACCAAGTCAGTCACGCTGACATGGTTTTCCATAGAAATCCTTGAAATTTTGAAAATTTAAAAACTGTTTATTTCCTTAAGCATTACAAGGCTCAAGTCCCCTTTTAATTCAAACAGGCACTGAATTTGTTTAGACTACATTGAACTTCTATTCGCTGATGATGGTTATCAGCTGATTTTACGTGAGACTATAAGGGTTTAAGCATCAAAAACGGCAGCTTGAGGACAACTCCTTGGGTAAACTCCACGATTTTACCTTTCCAGGGCTAAACGCTTGGCTTGGGCTTACATTGGCAATGGGTCTTGCAAAAAAAAAAAAAAAAAAAAAACAATTTGAAAGCTTTGGTCACCAAAACTCCACTGTTTCCAAACACCATGTCAAGAGACAGCTACTTTCATATTCGGAGATATCTTCACTAGACGAGACAAACATATTGGAGTAGATGATTTCGTGATAAGTTTTCTTTGACCAAAACATCCATTTCCTTAGCTGGGGTTATGGTTGATTTAAGTGAAATCATTTTGGGACTACTGATAAACATCAAGTTTGCAATTAAAATATGGTTAAGATAAAAACAATGGTGTTTTGTTTAGTGCTAAGAAAAACTTTCTGTGTATACAGAACTTGATATTGTGAACAATTATTATGTTAACAAAATATCCACTTCAGTTTTGTTCCCCAATTCGAGGGTCGTTTGAGAAAAAAACCCATTTTATTGCCTTTCTGGATTTTTCATATTTTTTTCTGTTGGACACATGTAATAGTTTATTGCACCAAATTAAAGTGCAAAATCTCCTCTTTCTAAAATGTTTGTTTTGTAGGTCTGTGTCACATTAAAAAAAAATTGGCGACTGAAATGGTACTGTCATGTCACAAATTGAGTAAAAAAAATCGCATCCTCTCAGTCCCCACGAGGTTAAATGCCGTTGACCTCATCAGTTTCTGTCGGGTGAATTTGATCGTATCTAGGCTGTTGTAAAAGTGAAAGTAAATTGATCATGAATTACCTTTATTTTCACCATTGCAAAGGAATCTTGCCAAGAACAAGCTTAGTACCCTTCAGTATGCTGCGTTTGATGGACTGAGTCAACTGGATGCATTGTAAGTGAGCGTGCCGAGTCTTCATTCATGTCACCAGTGCTGTTATCTTTCTTACGTGTTCATAATGTGTTATACATTTGTTATCAGTTTATGAAGTAAGTTAACATGGTATGCGCATGAAAACGTGATGGTTAGAGGTAATGCTTAACCCAACACAGTTTTTACGTAGAATTTGATGATGTGGGAAAAAATGTATTTAGAAACTTGAGTTGAAAAAGAATTTTTCAGATTTGATAACCAATTTACATACTGTTCCTTCCAGGTTCTGAAATTCTGTTTTGAGCAATGAAAGAAAACAATTCTTTTGAGAATTTCAGGCTGTGACATGGCTTGGAAACGTGCCTCGACGATAACGATTGCTTTCAGTAAATACATGTCATAAATAGTATTTATGATTAATTATGGATGTGGAATGGAATTGATCCAGATAATATTACTGGTCACTTCCTTTTTCAATCAAAGTTTGTGAACAAAACCTGTATACTCTGTTTTTCTTTGAAGGGACCTTAATGCGAACTTGATCAATTCGATAGAGGACGGGGCATTTCTTGGTCTCCATCGTCTTAAGTCATTGTAAGTAAATTACTGACACAATCATTAATAAGAAAGCCATGTTCGAGAGTATCATGATGAATAATCGAAGAAATGTGTGTTTTAGACACGTGAATTTCATGATAAATGAACGAGTTCTATCAGCTAGTGGGGAGACATTTTTGGTCGGTCGGTCAGTAGGTCCGTCCGTTGATTACTGTAAACATCCGGGAGTTTCTTCGCCTAGAAGTATTGAACCGTGGAAAAATGAAATGACCTTTACGGGGTCAAATGGTTCCTCCTCAGTTATAACCAAAATGAGAGTGCTCTATCCGTATTAATTCAAATGTTACACTTCGAAGCGACTCCTCAGTGAGCAAATAACCTGTCTAAGTAGCTATTATTTTGGACAAAGTAATCTGGGGGGAGCCAGGGAGAAGAAAGAAGCCTCACGTTAGGGTTAGCTGACGGTGGACCCCCTAGCCCCTTCACGACAGCAAGCTCTATGGGAAAGTAGGAAAATATTCCCTATTAAAGTTGTAGTCTAAATCCGAAAAAAAAAAAATCTCAATGATAAGAATTTTGTCCACTTCTACTATGAAATATTTTAACATAATATTTGTGACGTTTAATGCCATATTCCTTTTAAGGTCCCTGAGCCAAAACCAGATTACAAAGATTGGGGCGTACCTCTTTGCTGATGTCTACTCTCTTACTTCGCTGTAAGCCATACAATCCAAACTTTACTATTCACTCACTTTCGGGTTTGACAAGATTGAGAGTCACCTCCTAGTGGCGATAAAACGTTTTTAAAAAAATAGTAAGACTAAGAGCGACTTTCAAGAATTTGAAGTATCTCTTAATCCTTTACGCGCTAAACATTGATATGTATATTATCCATACTGTTCTCGTTACATATTTCCTCTGGTACTGACAAGGAGAATTCGTTGACAAACAGGAGCTTCCCAAATTGCTTCCTAAATTTGTTGCGGACTCACGAGGCGCACAACGTTTTTACCACTGTGAAGACGAATATCGTTGTCGATAAGAATACAAACCACGCTGAACCATTGTCAACTTGTTGATCGATATGACTTGTTTTCTGAACTGAATCGAAGAGACAAAATGATGCTTTTTTTTATCATAACCTGATTACTTATTTCTTGGTTCTCTCCTAAATCTTCCAGATACCTTTTTCGAAATCAGATTTCAGTCATCGAAAATGGTGCCTTTTCACGACTGCTGTATCTCAAAACTCTGTAAGTACTCTGGGTTTGTGGTTAAGAGTCGAGAATGAAACTACCTAAACAGCCTCGTATGTTCTTTGAATTTCAGAAAATGGTCGAAACCCTAACATCAGTATGGATATTCTCCATACTGTTCTCTATATATTTTTCTAAGTTGCTGACGTGGAGAATTTGTTTAACAACTGAAGAGCCTCTTAAACTTTCGCTCCGACGAACGGCTAACGCTCGAAACGTCAGCTTTTCTAATCGTTACGGTGGCCAATTTACCATTTCAACTTTGTTGATATATCCAAATTATAAGAGCCTCTTTAGTTGGTGACCATATCATTTGTCAGTTGCGGCCAGTTGTTTGGGTGATATTGTAATTATAAGGAGAGATTAGATGCTAGTCACTATCAGGGGTCTTGGGATTAAGGCTTTGTTTTCAAGTCTAATTTAGTACCTTTGACATCGATCAACGAATAGTTCCAAGGAGACGCTGATAATTAAGCTGACACTTTCTTTTTCAATCATTTATAGTTGGTACTAAGCTATCACAGTGTTAAGACACCGCGACTTTCTTTTTAATTTCCATAGATCACTTTTTGACAACAAGATTTCTGCTATTCGTCAGAAAACTATTGCTGGACTTGAGAACCTCGAGGAACTGTAAGTCGCCAGTAACTAATGATGTGTTAGATGATGTGAAAAAACTTCTCTCTAAAACGGAAACTTTTCAAACCAAACTGCTTCTATACTGATAAGGGACCGAACTTAAGAAAGGTAGATAAAGGAGGAAAATTCTCAAGGTTGCTTGATTTGTTCTGTCAATTTTTTATTAAGTGATCTTTTCGGCAGAATCTCATTCAATATTGTTTTTTGTGCAATTTCTCCTCGTATTAATTTTTTCGGTTTCAATTTTTTGTACCTCAGCGCCAGTGTTGCCTCAGTTACCAGCTTTCTCTAACCCATATTACCATAATTTCTTCTCTAGCTATCTGCAACGAAACCGAATTACCGATATTGAACCTTGGTCCTTCTCAGCCACCAAGAAATTGCGATTATTGTAAGTACTCAGTTTAATTTAACTTCAAGCGCATTTCGATTGAGTGTTGTAAAATTAAAACCAGAGCTATCACAACAATCGATTGTCTTTAGGACCCAATGAAAAATCGGAGTAAAAACAGCCAAACTGCCTAAAGCGCGGGAAAACACGGGTGACCCTGTCGAGATTGGCTTTAGTTTTGTATCTGATTGGTTGAGAGAGCGCGGCGAGTTTTCTGAACCAATCACAGAACGAAGTAAAGCACGAGCAATGCAGTCTTAGATTACTTTCGACATTCAATTGAAAATTCCTCCTCAGGGTTTGATTAAAAAAAGGGTTCTGCATGTAGAGTTTTAAAAACTTAGTAATATATTGACACTCTCCAAGTGAGGTGGAATGAATTTTTGTTTTTCAGGATTCTGTATTCCAATCTTCTCTCATTTATTCCCGACAACATGTTTGAGGATCTGAGATATCTAACTGTCCTGTAAGAACAATTGCTTGTTTTCACTTAACGTTTTTGTTGTCTTTTGTGACCATCTTATGAATCGTAAACATTTTATACCGATCTTGCATGAAGTCAGTGAAACAGTCAGTTTGATCTAAGGTTGCTGTTGCCTTTTTCTCCCGCAGCCATCTTGGTATCAACACAATCTCCTACGTCGCAGACGAAGCATTCCGCCATCTCGGACGCCTAAGCGTGTTGTAAGTTCAGTGGGCAACTCAATTAGGGGCTGTTGATGTTTTTTTTATGGTTTTGTATTTGTATGTCTCTGTTTTCTTTTCCTTTGTATCTATTTTAACCTCATTTACGGTGTAACAAACTCCCCACGATAAATTTTCTCAAATTAAAAACAAAAACCCGTAGGTAAGATATTAGTTAAGTTATTGTGCCAATGAAAGATTTTCGCCATTAGTCACATCCGCTAATTTTTGTGACGGTGTAAGGGGTGTCTTCTGCAGATAAAAAGGACATCGAATCGGCCTCTTCAACCTTCTTCCTTTTCGAAAATTGGCAGGTAAATATGCATTATCACAAAATGAGAGAGAAATGAACCCAGAATAAGAATAAAGTGGAATTATATTTAAAAGTGGACCTCCATTTTTCTGATGGAATTAAAAACGCTGCTTTCTTTTGGACGAGGGAAGACGTTATATTCGGTTAGTTGCTAACAGCATTTTTATCGTTCCAGAAATCTCGATTCAAATCGTCTCACTCTGCTTAACCCAAAGACGTTTTACGGCCTTTCAAATCTCAAAGATATGTAAGTATACTTGGTAACCTCCCTTCATACTCTATTTACTCTCTTTTTTTAGTACTACATTTATATTGATTTCCTAATTAGCTTAGAGGTAGTAAATAAAAAGAGAATTTAAGGCACACATTCATGTCCTATAGTTTACTGTGACTTAACCTTCCCCATCCACTTTCCACACCCCTCTTGATCTCGTCGCGCAGTCCTACGTTTCAAGAAAAGTAAAGTTTGGGTTGGAAGTTACACAACCTCAACCCGCCTCTAACGATTTCTTTAAAGTTATCGTTGCCCTAGTTTCCTTCTTTTTACGAGATATCCTTGTTTTCCTTAATTTGTGCTTAGACATCTTTACTTCAACAACATTTCGTATGCCGGAAAAGGAACATTCGATCATTTCAAGAGAATAACAAGATTGTAAGTATGAGTATTCAAATCATAAAACTTGTCTTACAGACTGACGAATGAAACCATTGACTTAAATGTCTTTATATCTGCTTAGAATCCCTGTCTCGAGAAGGAGCGTGGAATCAGAAAATAGTTCAATCTTATTATCGAACTGCACAATGCAGAGTACAAATAACGCGCGAATCGAGTACAAATATCACGCGATATTTGTACTCCAGAGAACCGTAAACACTAAATATCCGCAAAATTCGCCCGCACTGAAATAACAATTTGGCGTATTGGATTATAAATCTCTTATTAAACGTTTTCTTGCTTAGTATCGCTCAGTATTTTATACGTTGTTTTTATTTTGACTCGCCCTACGTGCTCATCAAAATACGGCACAACTCGTAAAAATACGCAGCAATACTACTCAGCAAAACGTTTAATAACATATATATATATATTTAGTATCATTCATATCCCTTCCGGCCCACTGATTTTTAGCTTTGGAATCCAAGAGCGGGCTTCGTTCCAAGAAAAGCGCAAAGAGCCCCAAATATTTGCGCTTTCTCCATGATTGTTTAAACAGACATAAACTGGTCATCTTCACTATTCCCTATTTCCTGTGTGCATCTCGATCCTACACTAGCTAGAGTTAATCCACCCATATGACAGGCCAGTCTTATCATCGATGATAACCAAGTTCTGTTTTACCCATTAGTTTATGGGATGTCCCGGAGGCCTACCGTGTGTCTCTGAAACCTAATGCGGTTAAATCGAGAGGGAGTGGGCTCCATTGTGATTGCAACGCACGTTGGTTGAAGGCCTGGTTACTTGAAAGAAAATTCGCCGACATCACATGTGCCAGTCCCGCCCACTTGACAGGGGTCACGGTAACAAAACTGAGGGATAGGGACTTCGTATGCGGTGAGTACCCATTACTAAGTCCTGAACAGAGACTATCTATCATGCACGTAACACGCAGGTATTTCAGTTGAAACGTATATCGAAATTTGGAACGAGTCTTTCTCGGAAAGAACTATCTGTGTCGCGATCTTATCTTCGACGATGGAAAAAAAGGCTGCCGTTTGCTCCATCTCAGTAAACAATAGTAAGTAACTTCTTAAGTGCCAAGCAATTAAATCAATCATCAATGGAGCCACGTGGCTCACCTGGAAGAAGCCCATTCCGGTTTCCATCTCATGATGTGACTTGGGGTAATACCATTTCCTTTACATAGGATGTTGGCCCATCGCAGGTTACTCCCCTCCCCTCCCCTTCCCTCCATTTTAAAAACCTAGTAAGGGACTTAGAGTCCTATTGTTTCTACACCTACCCTATGGAAGATCTCTAAATAAAAATAAATAAATAAAAAATTTGTTAGTTTTTCCTGACAGTTTTCCGGTACTCTTTTTTTTTCCTGGAGAGAGGCAAAGCGAGTCAAGTGTCTTGCCCTATTATATGATAATATGTGACCCGGCCAACTAAATACCATGCTGAAAATAAAGTAATTTGCATGAGTGCCATGAAATATTTTGCAGGTGCTCTCGAAGTTGTAGTGTACCCGAAGCAAGTCCTCGCCATTCTCGGACAAAATGTTGAACTACGTTGCCATACAAGTCTAGGCGCCACATATCAGTGGAATTTGAAAGGTGTTAAACTGGAAGCTGATCAGTATCGCGTGCCTAACCCCCTTGGTCTGCTGACGATCTACGGTTTGGCCGAGGAGGACTTGGGAGAGTATGTCTGCGTTGCTCAGAACGAGGCTGGAATTGTAGCCAGTCATGCGATGGTAACCAGTGGAGGTAATAAAGAATAACATGGTGTGATTGTCTTATCATCTTGATAATGATGCTTTTATTTGCCACATTCTCCTTCTGGTCTAAGATAACAATACTTTGCCCTATTTTACAGTTCGTCCCCAGTTTACCGTATACCCGTTAGCAGTTGACGCCACGGAGCCGTTAAAACCAGTGGTGCTGAAATGCCGAGCGAAGGGAACACCAACACCTGAAATCAAGTGGTACAAGGAAAGTCTGTTGATTGTGGGTAGCCCTGAGGAGTCACGCTTACAAATTACTATGGAGGGCTCCCTAGTGTTCATGGGAAAGAGGTTTCACATCACGAAGGAGGGGTCTCTGATAATACTTGATCCTCGAGTGGAGGACGAGGGGACATACACGTGTTCAGCAGAGAACGACTTGGGGAAAATATCGTATGACGTCAGCCTTTACGTTGAAACAAGTAAGTGTTTATTACATTTATAATATTGGGCCCGCCCGCCCGGGAGTCCGGTGATATCCAATTCGACTATATTCATTTCCAACTCCCGGCAAACTGATACCGGATATTTTCCACCCCCCGAGATCTCGGAACCGGAAATCTCAACCTTCCCACAACCTCCAACTTTTTCGCTCACATGGGTCCCTATTTTCGTATCTTTGAACTTAAAGTCGTGTTCTCTCGCTCAGGGACAACTTCGTTATCTAACTTCTAACTTCTCTGGTTATTTGGGGGCTAGAAATAAAGATTCACATGCAGCTTTACACTACCCTGCCTCCATAAGAAATAAGTGTTACTTGTGTGCCGTAAAACTGAGCAAAATTCCGTCAAGTTAACTTACTCAAACCAGTTTACAACTTTATGTATTCAAAATGCTGACCACTCTGACTAATCTTAAAGAATTCAAATATTTTTCTGGACTGAGATATACAGTTGAAGTGGACCTTAGAGAAATAATTTAGAACTAAAGGTTCACACGTTTCCTTGCAGATAGTAAGTGTGCTCGTGGTTGAAGAGGTGGCGGAGTTTGTACAGCAGTGAAGTATGACTGTATATGTACCCAAGGATCTCACAAGGAAGGACACCAATGTATACAAGGTAGGCACCTGCCAGCAACTTTAGTTTATGGGTAATGAAACAGTTAACGGATGTAAAAAGCTTATGAGCGCTATCAAACTGACACCATACCGATGGGTGTGGTTACTAAAGAGCAGACAGGTAGACTCCATCACTAGCCGCTGTTAGGGAAAGGAGCTGAAGTTACTCCTGGCAGGAATAAGGACCAGACTTTGAAAGCCAAGGAAGCCGAGCCTAGAATGTCGGAAGTGTTTGAGAAATTCTCTTATATTCCAGAGTAGCTCTAAAAAGGTCCTCTTAATGAGATCTTCTTTTTGTACACAATCAAAATGAATGTTTTGGTAAATTTTATCACTTGACTTGGCTAGCCTGAGGACGAACTCGTGAGGGGTGTGTAGGGACGTAGCTACGCTTCTTCGAAGCGGGAGAGGTCAAAGTTATGAATTTTTGTGCCCTTTCTCAAACCGCTTATCTACCTTGTGTGTCAGCGAGCTCGCAGTTAGACGGACCTGTCCAGCAATTTTGTCATGTAGATTCTTTGCATTCGTGAGTTTTCGCAAACCGGCCTTCAATCCTAGCAACTTCAGCATTTCCCTTTATGAACATTTATCTTCCATATGTAATTGATGTACGACTTTAAAATGAGTCAGGAGATGTTTCTACGAACATTTTAATTGGTACTGATGTGAACAACTGTAAACTGTTCTATCCCATCTACACGAACAGATAAAAAGATCACGAATAAAAAAACAGTCGAAACAGGTTCCGGTTCGGGATCAGGACCTGGTTCGGGGGATGCGGAATCAGAAGTTGGATCAGGATCGGGTGACGTGTCACCTACGAAACCAACTTCTCACAAAACAGACGGGCCGGGAATTGATCAGGAGACTGGAAGCGGAAGTGGGGAAGGTCAAAGGCCCTCTTCAGCCTCCAAAGGACCTGGGGTAGATCAAGAGGAATCTGGTGACCTTACATCGTCGACACCCTCGTCTGAGGCCGGTAGCGGAAGTGGTAATGGAAATGCGGGAGGAGAAACTGAGGACGGAAGTTTGGAGACTAGGGTCCCAGGTAGCTTTAGGTCTAAAGATTGATATTTTGATACCAGACAATCAATTCAGAAAATTGGAAGACAAGGCATAAAGGACACTATACGAAGTTAAAATTACAATACTTATATAAATATGAAAACCATTCTGCCACTTAACTTTCCCCCTGTGCTCTGTAAGTTTGAACTTCTCGTGAATTTTTTTTTTTCTGATAACGCCAGGTGCTCTAAACTCTTTTGGTTTTTTTTTTTTTTTTTTTTTTTCAGTGAAGGAGAGATCCCGGGCGAAGCCAGTGAATCCTTTAGAAGCCCCACCATCGTGAGAACATTCAGAATGTCTTCTTTTTTTGCAGCGGTTACGTTCAAGACTAACAAAGCCAGTTGTGGTGTTGAGATAAACCCAACGCCATAAAAAACCATTTTAAAAACCTGTCGCTAGTTTTATCAACTAAATAGATGCACCTTTAGAATTGTTGCCGATACGTCTATGATTAGTGTGTGATGCTAATGAATTAATTACAATGTGTTCACCAATATGGATACAATGATACTCATGGGAGCATGGACAGGATTCTCCATGTTCAGAGGAATTAGAGGTTCTACAATAACACCGTACAGGAACCGGTAGCATGCCTTGTGTTGTACTCTTCAACTGTCACTTCTCTTTTTGAAAAAGGGATAGGGGGTCATAAGCACTCTACAACCCTCCTAAGATACAACCTTGTACACTAGGCCCTTTAACTCCCAAGATCTGATAGCTAATTCTCCACTCTAGCTGCTACACATTTCTTTGTAAATTAGTTATGAGAATTTGGTGTTAGATCAAGATAACATGTACCCAATACATTTAGGTGTTCTCATTACCTGTTTGCTGGATAGTGCATGGATTTTGTAAGGAGAAATTACATATGAATCACCTCTGGGAATAAAAGGGTTTACACAGCACTAGATGAGCTGTGAATATCCTTAATTTGCACAACTTAGTAAATTTCTCTCCCGTTTCGTGTATCCATGTATCCGCATGATTATGAAACTGTTGAATACAAAGTCACCCAATGCATTTTTCCCAGACATGATACACAAGATGAACAATCATTCTGATCATTTGCTGCTAAAAACAAGAAAACTTCAAAGAATGAAATTGTTGATAACTTAAATTCTTCTCTCCTCTACCGCTGCATTGTCTAATTAAGTTTTAGAACAAGAACTTGGAAGTAAGACAATTAGTGCTTAAATTAATAAAGGATTTTTTTTTCTGTAATGGGGATCAACAAAGTCATCATGTTCTGGTATGACGTAAGAAGAAATGGTGCGATTGTGCTATGGTTTGGGAATTTTCCTAATCCTCATGTTTGTGGGAATTTCACAAAATCAAGAAGCCTCTGTGAGGCAATGCCCCCTGTAATGAGAACTATTCCAGCATCATTCACATTTGTAAGCTTGCAAGAGCTTAACCTGTCCAAAGACCACCCCCTTCTCTCGCTGTATCCAATCACAGGGTACATAAGGCAAATTGTACAAAACTGATTGGAGTGACAAAGTGTTCTGCATGAAAAATCAGTCAGTCTTGGAGGGTAGTTGGAGCCATCCCTTCTAAGGACTCTTTGCCAACCTTGTGACTAAATACTTCAATGGCTATCTTCATGGGGTAATTACTATTAAAACTGACTATCTTTCACAATCACTTTAATGAGCACGTTGTTCAATTGGACATTTGATCTACATACACTATATGTAGCAGTTTACATCACACCCTATTTAAGAAAAAAAGTTTTGAGCCATTAAGTGATGCAAAAATGTTAAAATTACATAGCCAAGTTTAATGTCATGTCAAAATTTTATAACACAATAATATGAGGTAATCCAGTCCAAAACCTTCTCATCAAAGCCGAGACATGTATCTGGCACCACTTGAACCACAAGATCTGAAATGAACAAGGGATGAGAGGATTATTGATAACTCAAAATGGAAAACAAAGTGAGCAAAAGTTATAGAGTTACATGTACAAGTAACTGGGGAAGACAAAAAGAATGGAATTTCCTTGCATCCTCTTGACAAAATTTAGCATCATAAAGTACATTGAACATGGGCTGCAAATTAATTGGCAAAGTTTAAAAGACATGCACTGCACCACAAAGTGACATTGACTTTTCTTTAAAAATTACAATGCAAAATGATAATTCAGATCATAACACAATTGTGAGTGACAATTAGAGCTGATTATTAAAACACAGTTTTCACTGCACGTGGGAATCATAAATGTAAGGAGAGGACCTGGAAGTTACAGGGCTCCACACTAACTTTTCAATTTACTAGCCCAGTGGCTAGTGACAACTTACATGTTACAACAATTTTGGTGACTTTATTAGATAGATAGATAGATAGACAGATAGTTTATTAATAACCGATTTGCAACCAAAAGTTGAATTATACGATTATTTACAAGTTTCAAACATTGATAATTACGTTAAATAGATTAAATGTATTAAAACAGCAATAAGGACACTAAATATATGTTTAAAAAAAAAAAAACCGTTGTAAAAACCGTTCAAGCCTTAAGGGCATTGAAGGTAATAAAACTATTACGAAACCTGATCGTCTTAAAAAATGGCTTAAACTTCCGCTTATTTCTTAGGTTAAAGGTACATGTGTTGCGAGTAGGAAGAAGTTCATGGAGCTTGTTCTGTTCATTCTGTAAAGCATTCTTGAATAGTTTATCAACTAGTTTCTGGCGGCGATCTGAAAGTTTAGTCAGGCCTGATTCAACCAAGGACTCATTATATGAGCAAAGAGGAAAAATAATGCGCGTAGCCCGCTTTTGTACTTCTTCAAGTTCGTTGGAGAGGTACACGGGGAGGCCGTCATGGAAGACAGGACATGCATACTCTGTAATCGGACGAATACAAGTGCAGAAAAACTGGACTAACTCACGGGTACCAAGAMCAGAGCGTTTAAGCTGAGATAAGCAATACAAGCGCTTTTTAGCTTTCTTAATAATGGAGTTAATGTGACAATTCCATTTCAAATCAATAGAGATGTTAAGGACTAGTATTTTGGCACTAGTAGTTAGGTCAATGGGCTTGCCATTAACAACAACTGGATCGAAAAAAGTAGGGTTGTTAGTGTTAAAGTTTATGAGCAGTTCTTTGTATTTCGTCTCGTTTAGTTGAAACTTATCCTCGGTCGCACGGCTTGCTAGGGTGTCAACAGCAGCCTGAATGTGACTGTCTTGGTTCTTGCTTATCGTCTCCGAAATAGTGGTATCGTCAACATACTTCCAGAGATCAATGCCAGGAACATCCAGCTCGTTGATCATGATGATAAACAGCCACGGCCCCAGTTTTGTACCTTGAGGAACCCCCGCTGGGACCGCGCCCCATTCTGAGAAGCAGTCGTGGCCGAGTTTAACACGCTGTTTGCGCGAGGTGAGAAAGTCGATAATCCATGAGATGACAGCATTGGGGATGTTATATGTACCCAGCTTCTTGACCAAAATCTGGTGGTCGATTAGGTCAAAGGCTTTTTTAAAATCGAAGAGAATCACCCTCACAGATGCCCCGTTACCGTCAGTAGCACTGTACCAGGCATGAGTCGTACTAATTAGGGGTTCGGTGGTGCTTGAACCGGGAACAGTGCCAAACTGCTGAGGGTCGACCTTAGCGAGTACAGCTGGTTTAACATAACGATCAACCACAAAGTCCTCAGCCAACTTGGAAAGGACAGGTGTAAGTGAAATTGGTCTCAGGTGTTTGTTAACGTCATAAACAGGGGTCTGCTTAGGAATAGGGACGACGTTGGCGAGCTTCCAGGACTGGGGGAGACGAGCCTCCAAGTATGAGCTATTAAAAATATCAGTAACCACAGGAGCCAATACGTCCGCGTTCTCTTTCAGAAGCCAGGCGCCCACGCCGACAGGCCCAGAAGCTTTGGCAGGATTAAGAGCGATGAGCTTCTTCAAGACACTGAACTCTGTAACCGTTGGCGTGTCGGTGTATTGCACAGCAAACGAGACCCCAGAATCCAATGGAGTAAAAGAGTTCATTGGAGCAAGAAAGGCATTGTTAATGACGTTAGCAAGGGCCGTACGACTAGAGTCAGGCCCTGTATCAATATGCTTCAGGACAGAGGTAGGATCTGTGCGCGTAGTTGATTGCATCCCGCCAAGTGATTTAACTTCTTTCCACCACCTACGCGGTTCGTAGGTCGTACTAACCAATCTGGCAAGTGAAAATCGAGAAGCACAAGCCAAAACTGAATTTCTACTAGTCTGTGGTTAGTTGGCTACTGTTAGTGCTGAGCCCTGAGTTACATTCAAGGATGATTATGGAAATAAAGTCTTAATTGAGCTCATAAGAGACGACAAGAAATCCTCACCGATTGACAACAAATGTTTCAGTATTTTTCCTCCCTAACCATGTTATAAGGAACAATTAGTAGGATGCTTGCCGTGCTCACATGTGGGTTTCAACACTGCTTATCAGCAGTTTTTGTCCTTCCCATGTTGACCTGTTGCTTTAAAGAAGTAAAACTTATACTTTCACAGAGATAAATTACCTTTAACACTCTCCTTCCAGCTTTTCCTGAATGTGCAGTTGTCAAAGACAACGTTTTTAGCATTATCCTTGTCATTATCACATATACAAAAAATGGATGAATACCCCAGTGATGACAGCTATCAATTTTTATATACCCAGAAGAAGAAAGTCTTCAAGCCAATTTTAAAATATAAAAGGACAATAAACTATTGGAGCTTCAATTGTCTGACCCCTTGCATTGGAAAAATACAAAATTGATGTTTTCTCCTAGTATTGTTCTCTCAGTGAAAGCTTTTATTGCAACATGCACCTTACAAATTCCAAGAGGCAAACTGCTTCCCAGTTACCGTGCTCCAAACCGCACAAATTATAAACAACAACACTAAAAACAGTAAAGTATACCTTGTAATTGGCATCATTTAACCAAGCCAAGCTCTTCCGGGGTGGAAAGTCCCAGTTCTTCCATGGTAGGCTTGATTTCACTCAGAATGTAGTTATATATTTCACTGTTTCCTGCACCCTTGTCATTAACGGCTTCTAAAATCCTGACAGTCATGGGAAAGTCATTAAGACGACGGCAGGCATGAAGCATTGCAATAATGATCCTGGGTTCTGGAACCAAGTCATGTCCATAGATCTCATTCAGTCCTTTACGCAACTCCCAAGCATCAAGGTCTGGTCTAATGGACAAATACATTTGACAAGAAATAAGTTTTAACTTCCCCCACAAGACATTTAAAAGTCATTATGGTACCAAAATTTCCAGACATTTACCCTCACAGCAGATTACCTTCACCAGCCAATTTTTAGCATTAAGTGGAAAAAAAATTAGCAGATTACCTCCTCTGGTAAATAACCCACATTTTGAAAACAGAAGAAAATTGTAAAAAAAAGCTCTAGAAGGCACAGAATTGGACCCAAGGAGCAGTAAGCTTTCCTTCCTCAAACAAAGTAGTACATGTGAATTGATCAAGAGTCATTTATTTTGAAACCAATTCAAAAGGGAAAAAATACATGACTACTCTAGCCCCTACTCATTCCTTGTTTGAGAGGCAAATATCCCATTTATCAACATTTTGAACTCAACAGAATGGCTGACAATCCTCTCTTTCAAGGTCCTTTCCAATGCAAGAAACTTTGCAATACCATTACCACGAATATTAACTGACATTTTGGTAGTTTTGCCATGACATTCTTTTTCTTTTGCCAATTAAAGATCATGGATTTTTTATTACAAACTCTCGAGCTGATGCTCTTGTAGATGACCCACATCTTCCTATTACCTGTTTATTGTACACTTCAAGTACTAACTTTCCATTAAAAGGGAATCTCTACTCTCAAATTGATTATTAAGACAATTGACAAAAACAATTGACAAAAACGTGCCAAAAAATAACATTCAGTCTACTCCATTTGAAGGGTTGTTTTAATCAATTACAAATTGTTCATGCATTTGTAAGACAGAGCAAATTGTATTGTAAACTTTAAAAGCAAACCTGCCTTGAAAAATAAGCGTGCCATCGGTTGTCAAATGCCTCATCTGATTCTTTGGGTTTGCTGCTCATCTTTCGGGACGTAACACCTGATTTGAAGTAAAAATTGTTTTGAAATCAACTACAATATGCCATTTTCAGTGATTCAATTCGTTTTACTGCCATCCCATTATGATTTACAGTGAAATAACACAGGAATTCTTCTGAGCACCCCAAAGCATTTTGCAAAAGTTACCATGGGGGATCGATCCTTCATGGAGGCAGCGCTGCAGCTTTGGAACAGTCTTCCCATAAGCATTAGATCTGCTTGCACCAAAAGTGATTTTAAACAGCAACTTAACACATTTTTATTCAGCAACGCATTTTGTTAGCACAATTAGTGTATATATAGATTTTAGATAGTTTCTCTGTTCTGCAAATTACTTTTCTTATAGCCAATTGTAATAGTATAGTTTTTGTCTTTGATTTCATAGTGATTGTGAATAGGTTTTTATTTTGTGTTTACAGTAATGTTTGTAATGCATATTTGATTATTTTTATAGAAAATGCACAATATAAATATTAAATATTATTAATATTAGTATTATCATTGTTATTATTATTAT